TTTCTGTTTTAGTTTTGAAAGATTGAAAATGTGTGTTGGTTTTATATTTTAACATTTTTAATAAATTATGAAAGATTTACAGTCATGAACTGCAGATATGTTGCTTTGCATTATGGGTAAAAAAAAATCAAAAAAATCAAAAGAGGTGAATATGTTCACCATTTTAACCTGGCTGGAAAGTTTTAATCAAAAGTGAAAATTTTTCTTATGTTTTTTTTATCTTGTTCAGTCTTTGCAATTCAGTATAATGTGGTTGTTTCATAATATCTTATAGTTAAAAATTAACAATTATTATTATCACTTTTATTAACATCTATATTTTAATTTATATTACATTTTTTTATTGACCATTGGTAGATGTTTTGAGACTTCTATTCTCTTTATCAGCCAAAGATTTTTATTTTATTTGGTTGAGTAGCTTGAATATTCATGTCTATCACAGTCCTGCATCAAGGTTCAAAGGTAATTAGGGTGGTATCTTGTTTCATAAGATAGTTGGTCAATGTAGGTGGTTGCTGGATGACCAACCCATCTTGCACCATGGCTAGGTGTCCAGAGCAGTAGATCACTCACAAGTTTTTGTTTTTCTCACCATCAGTGCCTTGCAGAGTGCATTCTACATTCATGTAAATTTGTAGAAATATCAGAGATGACTCCATAGAGCTGTGATTTAGTTTGGCATTGTCTCCATGAGATTTTAAGTATAGCTCTTACCATCTGGTTGTAGGTTCCATCTAGCTTAGACTCAAGGGTTTTAGTTAATGTCCAAGCAGTGGCACCACACATTAAAACCTCCTCTACAATAGCAAAAAAGAATCTCTATTTGAAGTTGTCTGGAAGATCAGATTTCCAGATTACATCCATTTTATTCAAGGTGGTCCAGACTTTAGCTATGCCAATTTTTATATCCTTTTCAGTAGAATTCATTTTGCTGCCTAAGTATCAATTTAAGTTTAAAGTTCAAATGCCACATTACAACACAAACTTGTAATGAACCTTTATATAATGTACCATTATTCAAAATTCTTAGAAAGAGAAGTTAATTCAGTAATTCAAAATTCTTTAAAAAGTAGAAGACAAGAAATAAAATATAAGCTTACTTCCTATAATTCTACAGAATTATTTTTACAAATTATTGTTGATTAGCAGTTTGGTTTGGTACGGTAGCATTTGAATGTAAAAATTAAATCAAGGAAAAACTTTGTCTGATGAAGAGAATAGAAGTCCTCAAACATGTACCAATATTCTATAAAAAATTATATGTTATACAGTTTTTATATATAATTAAATTTTAATTATTTTCATGAAAAACTGTAGTGTTAGTTTCCTCATTGGCTGCTGGGTCATGTAATTTAATAGTTGCATATTTGGATAGCAATCCCTCTCTAATACATGTTTCATTAAAAATGATTGACAATGTATTTCTACTGTATTTTAATTATTTTCATGAATATCTTTTACTTTGATTTACTTGGCACTATTGCTTCGAAATAGGTTTTCCTGCCAAAATGTTTTAGCACCTGTTACAAATTCTTATCAATAATGTTATTTTTTGATGATATAAAGTCTAAACATGTATTGTTGATTTTGTGAAGATAGTTAACATTTAATTGTTAATAATATCATTATATTTTACATATGTATATAATTTATGTCTTTTGGTATTTTTTTAAAACTTTATTTAAATAAACAAATTAAATCATACACAACACTTTAGAAATTGTAAAAATAATGTTGTAGACTTATAACTGTTTGTTATGCAAAACACTCCTTTTTTAATTTTTTCTTTTTTTTTCCTCTTTTCTTTCTAAGAATTACTGAATTATCTTCCCTTTCTAAGAATTTTGGATTGTCTTTTAGAAGTCTGTATTGTACTGGGCCTTTGAACTTAAAAATTAAATCAATGTTAATCTTTAATTGATGAAGGGAATAGATTGATTGATTGATTTGTTTTTTATGGGTTATCAGCCTTTTACAGTTTATTTAAAGACAAACAATATTTTTAGATTGTAAGAATTTTTGGGGAGATAATACTGATTTTAATGATACAAGTCTTACTCATCAACCCATAGCTGGGGGGGAGAAGAGGTGGGTTCATACCTTTCCCAAGGCTATTTCCACATAAGTGAGTATAACGAACCTGAATGAAATTGGAACTTGACTCTCATTTCCAATTCTGTACCATTATCCATTACACTACCCACGTATCCAGGCTTATAGCACCTGATATTTCCAAGTGATTACCCATCTAGGTACTGATGAGTCTTGACATTATTTTAACGATGCTGATTGTATGACAAATTGGTGTTTTAGACATCAGAATAGAGTAATAAAGATATTAAAAATCCACCTGGGGTAAAAATAATGTTTATGAATTCTCATATCTATCCTGAATATTTTTTACTTTGTAATTCACTTTTTTATTATTCATAATTATAATACAAAAGAAACAATTATTTGGGGTTGTATTAGCATAAAAACGGACAGTTAGTGAAGTTCTTGGGGCTATACAGGAAAGATAAAGGCTAACTCTAGACTTAGCATTTCAGACATCAGTCGGAAATGTTAGGAGTATAGAGATGAAATAGACTTTAGAAAGAACTGGAAACCCAATCATGAACAAGAAACAAGGGATCTGTTCTCCTGTTCAAAGGACTGGGGATGAGTTTGAACTGGCCGATAAAACAAACTTATCTATTCCTATTGGGAGAGGAGAAAAATAATTAGTGAATAACATTCAGTCAAAGTTGTTAGAAGTATAGAGTGGAAGTAGACTTTAGAAGGAGCCAGAAACCCAATCCTAAACAGAAAACAAGGTATAAACCTCTACTTCTGTTCAAAAGACTGGGGAGGAGTGAGAATGTAACTATAGGCAAACTTATCAACTTCTATTGGGGAAGAAGAAAAAACATAATTAGTCGGTAAAATTTCAGAGTTCAGTCAGAGATATTAGAAGTATAGATTTGAAGTATACTTCAGGAGGAACTGGAAACCCAATCCTAAACAGGAAACATGGGGTAAACCTCTACTCCTGTTCAAAAGACCAGGGAGGAGTGTGATCAAATCTTGATATTTATTATTGGTTTATAAAGAAAGTTTCATCTTAATTGTTAATAATACAATTATGTTTTTGCATAATTATATAATTTATGTCTTTAAGTATCTTTTGTTTCAGTAAATAAGACAAGGATATCAGTTATTGATATTGTCCTGATCACATTTTTTCTTATCTTTGTCAGTTTTGTAGTATGTCTACCAACTTGACTGAAATTACTCTTTTATGGACAAAAAATGGTGATGGAAATAATTTCTCAGATATTTTTTACAAATATAATTATTCTCTGACAACTCAATTTTTATCCCCAGCACAAGGAGGTGCTTCAAATCTATAAGAAAAAAGTATCTTCAAAAGTTTTTAATCTGCAGTAAGAAAGACCTTCTTACCATAGCTCAAGTTTATTAACCTCAAATAAAATGGTACAGCTAATATTAGTCAATGGTGTTTATTGATATTTGAAAACTGCTTGGCCAGATGCTAAGATTAAACTAAATTCTCTTTTATTTTGTTTTTAATGTATAATTTTTTAAATTTTTTAAAAGTTCAATTTTAAATTTAATTTTAATTTTTAATTTTATTTTTTTTATCTTTAATTGTATAAGAAAAAAGTAGGAGTATCTTTATGAAGCATAGTTTTGAATTTGCCAGTAACCATTGCTTAAATTTATTGACCTCACACAAAATGATACAAGTAATATTAGTCACTAATGTTTATTGAGATTTTAAAAAATTATTTGGCCAGTTGGCATGAGTACACTAAATTCTATTTTATTAAATTAAATGTATAATTTTTAATTTTAATTCTTTAATTTTAATTTAAATAATTCATTTATAATATTTAATCTATTTTAATATTTAATTTATTAATTTTTAATTTAAATTTAAATTTTGGAAAAATCAATTATAATCTTTAATTTTACTTTAATGCTTAATTTTACTAATTTTTAATTTTATTCTAAATTTTAGAAAAATCAATTATAATCTTTAATTTTATTTTAATGTTTCATTTTACTAAAGCTAATTAAAGGATTAAGAAACAAGAAAATTTCATTAGAAACAAAGAAAAGAGTACTTAACTGTTATGTAATATTGGTACTTTTATATAGCACTGAATATTTTCACATCTTCACAGATGAAGAAAAAACTTGAGGCAATAGAAATGTGATTCTCCAGAAGGACACCAAGAATACCATGGACTGAACATGTGAATAACAAGGAAGTTTTAGGAAAATGAAAATAAAAAGTAGATTTCTAATTAGAAACAGAAAGAGACAATTGAAATTTCTAGGGTACATAAAAATGGGATGAATTTTAACATATCACATTTGAAAGAGCTAACCCTTTTTTTTCAGCTAGATAGCCAGTGGTGTTTGTAGTAATCAAAAATTGTAGCAGGTTGTGGGGATAAAATTAATATGTGTGTATGGAAGGGGAAATAAATCTAAATGTATATGTAAGAATTTTTTTTTAATGTACCACATCTTCTTTAAACTGAACATCCGAGATGTTCAATATTGAGGATACTGTTTAGATTTGAGGAAGAAAAGGCTGCTCTGGCAAGCTTAAAATTTTTATTAAGTTTTAGAGTTTAGGATACAAAAGGTATTTTGTAACATTGATTATGTTCGTATAATATGATTTCTTAAAATGTAAAACAAAATTAAAAAACCTTTTAAATATATGAAAAGAAAAAGAGCACCAAATTAGGAATTTCTAAATTTTTAGAATATTTTTAAAATTTAAAAATATCTTATATGAACATATTTTGTTTTGGCCTCCATAGTGGGATCAATTTACAATGAATTTATATGTAGAATCTAATAAAGAAACATTTTTTTTTATCTTAGTGCAATTGCAATTATCAATTCAGTACTCTTTATAGATAAAACTACTTGGTATTTTCTTGTTTGTTTAAATGCATGTCTTTAAAGAGGAAGGAGGCTTGTGGCCACATCACATTGAACCACTGGTTCCCTTACGATCACCAAAGTTAAACAACATCAAGTATGGTCAGTAGTTAGATGGGTGACCACTTGGTAATACCAGTTGCTGTAAGCTTGGGTGTGCAAGTGGTTTAATAATAATGGCTCAGAATTGGAAATTAGAGAGCCCAGTTCCAGTTGAACTTTTTTATATTCACACACATGTTCAAATACCCTTGGGAAAGGTATGAATCCACCTCTTCTCCTTCCAGCTATGGGTTAATAAGACTTGTATCACTAAAATCATTATTATCTCAAAAAAAATTCTTACAATCTAAAAATATTTTCTGGCTTTAAATGACCTTCAAAAGGTTAATAAATTGTAGAAAATGATTAAATCAATCAATCAAATATATAGCTATGCAGGCATGTCTGTTAGATTTATTTACATTATTTGAAATATAAATGTATACAAACTATTATGGACACAAAGTGATTGCAATATAGACTGGATCCCCCTCTTTATGTCCACATCATAATTTCTTGTTTTCTTATCAAATTCTGATTAGGTATGAATTCATTTTTTCCACCCCACTCACGGCCATGGGTTGATTAGTATGACTTGTATCACTAAGTCATTATTATTATACAGGCATGTCTATTAGATTTATTTACATTCTCTGGAATATAGATGTATAGAAACTACTGTGAACATAAAATGAGGGATCAGTTTATATATTGATTATAATATAGAATTTATTCCCCACTTTATATTCACATTATAATTTCTTGTTTGTTTATCAAATTCTAATTAGGTATGAATCCACCTCTTCTCCCCCTGCTATGGGTCAATTAGTAAGACTTGTATCGGTAAAATCATTATTATCTCAAAAAATTCTTACAATCTAAAAATATTTTCTGGCTTTAAATAACCTGCTTAAACTGTAAAAATTGAATTAATCAATTAAACAGGAAATTAAAAGTTAAGTTGACAAGCAATAATTATATTTGTTAATTTGATTCATATCATGCTGTCAGAAAGAAAATTAAGTTTTTTACTACTTATTTTTTTTAAGGGGAAGAATTTCAGTCATTGGTAACTTTGGTATACTTTACTGATGTTATTATAGCAGAGCAAATAGTCATTACTAGTTGAATGACCCTTTGTGAATACCAGATGTTGATAGTAATAGGAAGGATAGAGAAAACCTTCAACATTAATGTACATGTGGAATGAAACTGGTTCTTGAAAAACCAGATGAAAAGGCCATCATCAGCACCCTGGGTATGATTTGTTTAGACAGTCGAGGATGTTATGTTTTATGGTATGCAGTACTGAACAATTTTTGTAAATACAGTACTGAATAAATTAAAAGTGGGAAAAAAGAAATTCCAAATTATATCTGTACAAATTTTTTCCAATTTTTAAAACAAAAATTAATATAAACCTTGCATTAAGTCATTTTGCTAGCTGTGCTCTGGTTAGACGAGTGATCTATACACGTGGTTGGTTTTAGATCAATCCACTGACTACAATCAGGGATGTGGCCAACACTTGGTTTATATGAAGACCGAGAGGATGTGGGATTGCCACCCCCCGGATGGAAAAATGTCTGTTGTGAGGGTCTCTTTGAAATGTTCTGGAATTGGGTTGTTATTGATGAATGGGGTTTATAGCACTGGGGAGCAAATGGATCTGAAACAAACAAAGAAAAAAATATCACAATAGAAAAAAAAAAGAAGAAACATGATTTTGAATGCTATAATTAGTAAGTTAGCATTAGTTGTTTTTTTATGCCTCATATTGAAAAGTGCAAAAACTTAACAATATTGTCATTTTGAGTTTGTAGTAAGCAAAATCTGAAAAATCAAAAAATTAAAATATGACTGAGAAATTGTCTTTAATTTTGAGAGGAGTTATCATTCAAAGAGTGGTTTGCATAAGTGAACTATATGGTAAAGATATTGTTTATAATTTTGAGATATGCCATTATCATTCAAAGAGAGATTTGGATAAGTGGAACAATTCAGTAAAAATATTATCTATTATTTTGAGATGAGTCATTATCATTCAAAAAGAAGTTTGGATAAGTGAAACTATTCAGTAAAGATATTATCTATTATTTTGAGATGAGTCATTATCATTCAAAAAGAAGTTTGTATAAGTGAAACTATTCAGTAAAGATATTATCTATTATTTTGAGATGAGTGATTATCATTCAAAAAGAAGTTTGGATAAGTGAAACTATTCAGTAAAGATATTGTCTATTATATTGAGATGAGTCATTATCATTGAAAGAGAGATTTAGATAAGTGAATAATTTGGAAAAGATAGTTTATAATTTTATAAAGAGTCATTATCATTCAAAGAGAGTTTTGTTCAAGTGAACCATTCAATAAAGATATTGTCTATAATTTTGAGAAGAGTCATTATCATTAAAAGAAATGTTTATAGAATTTGATATTCTGTCTTCTTCAGGCAGAACTAGAACAATTTACCTCAATGGATAAAATAAAAAGTTTGGTTTGAAATTCAAATGTATATCACCTAAAGAAGGCCAGAGTGTACAATGGTCAAAATGTTGTGAATATAACAATAAAGATGAGGACAACAGTCAGAACAATGTAAATAGTGTAAATTATCATTTTTCTTTCCTAATTCTTTTCTTGAAGGGTGACTCAACAAGACACAGAGTTTTTCTAGCCAGAACTGTTAATAGATAACTCAAGAATTTAGGAATCTAAACATTCTTTCAGCTATAAAATTACCTAAACCCCGCTAGGATTTCTTTTGGCTCAAACTTAGCAAAATGTTGTTCTTTTCTTTGCGCTCAGGGTCCAACAAATGTTAATAGACAGTTTTTCCTGAACTTGTAGCAGTCTCAAGAGAATTGCAGAAGTTATGCTTCCAACTATGTTTATGAGAACAAAAATAATATAAACATTGGCAAGCTCATGAAAAAAAAAGTTTTCTTTTCACCCAGCAAGATCAATAATTGGCCCTTTGAGGGATAATAGAAACAATTTTAGGGGCAGAGAAAATTTGTAAAAACAGTGTGAATTACTGAAGTAAAAACAGCCTAATGATATGGTGCATTCTTTAAGGATTGATACTGGTTTGGTTGTTTGTGGAGTAAGGGAAAAAGCAAGGAAATCAAATGTACCGTATTTGCTTATGTATAATATGACTGCGTGTTTCTGAAGCTGATAACAGGGAAGAGATTACATCCTTAACTTTAAGTATAATACAACCCCGTGGTAGAGCCATCCCCTATGTAAATTGTTTTTTAAAATGTTGTACTATATTATAATACATTAAAATTTCAATACCATACTTATATTTCAATAAAATTGTTAATTTTTAACCATATTGAAGAACAGAAATGAGATTGATGTTTAGCTGTGGGATGTTTCTTCTACTTTCCATTTCAAAATTTATTTTCCAATTTTCAGGTCCTTTCCCAGTTTTTGCTGCACACCGACACAAACAGGAACAGTGATGGCAATGTTAGGTAGTGGAAAGTTGGGTGAGATCCCCATTGTACATGTAATGACCACACCCAGTCATGAGATTGATGATGATGATGATGATGATGATGATGATGATGATGATTGTGTCATCTGGAATTGAATACTTGGTGTAGAACTAAAAACTTGACCATTTTCTTTTCTAAAATCCAATGGCAAATAATCAGGCATGGTATATCTATAAAGATGACACCTCGTTCCATGCTCCACCTTCACAAGAGTCACATCTGACCAAAAATGGTGTATTGTTGCCATATCTGGGCTGGAACTGCCTAGTACTCACTCTCCAGCCTTGGCAGATTTCAGAAGCATTTACATGGCCTCATGAGTAATGAATTATTTTCCACCCTACAACCCCTTTCCAACAAACGAAATGTTACTAGCCTCTTGCTACTCTATTGCTATTTCCTGGGCAAATGTTCAGACAAACTACATTCCTTAGTTCTATCAGTTCAGACCTTTATAGCTAGTCATCTTGTTCTCATTCCCTTCATATTCCATTGGTAAACATTCACATGTGCTAATACCCTTGGGAAAAGCATACATCTTCTTCTCCCCCTAGCTATGGGTGAATAGTAGGACAGACTCGGTCCTATAGCCTTGGATGGCAACTGGTCTACTGCAGAAAGAAATGGTAACCTACTACGGGAAAACTACTGTATCGAAAGATGCATGATCGCCTAAGTGTGTATCATACATGGCACATAACTGACTGAATGAGAAAGTTCCTCTTAGACAGTTTCTTTCCCAGAACTGTTACTTTGTGGAATAGACTCCTGAGAGGGTGCTTCCCCAATTGCTACAATCTTCACAGTTTCAAGTCAACCATTATCTATCCTATACATCCTCATACTTTGCACCTCTTACTTTTCCTTGTATTCCTTTATAACAACACTTATTCAGCAACCTTATTTCTTGAGTGGCTCTTGGGCCTTTTATTGAGTGAGAAATATAAAAAAAATATATAAAAAAAGGTGCAAACTCTTTGAATGCTGAAAAAACCAAATGGATTATTCTTGTAAAAAAATATAGAACTTTTGCAGGCTGTTTTATATGCTAAGAGAATAATAAAACATTTTATGTGTAAGAAACAGTGAAAATGTTGTAATTTATAATTTTCATTGGAATTTACAAGACAAGCAGTTATCATTATTATGTGCTTTGATATTCAAACTAGTATCCTCATCTTGGTTGTAATAATCACACTATTTTGGCAGCTGTATTCCTTGGTCTTCTTGGATTGAATAGAGGTTATGGTTTGAAATTCCAAGAAGATTACCCAGGATGAAAACAGAAACCTGAAAGCTGGAGGCAACAACAGCTAAACTGTTCTGATTATAGCAACCAAGGTGGGCATGCTGGTCTGAATAGCATAGCATATAATAGTGGCAGTTCATGACCCTGTGTTAGGGGATGCAGACAATGGGAGTCAGCTTCATAAATGTACTTTTATATCACAATTTGGAACATCTGCTTTTATTCAATAATTATGAATATGATTACAGGAAATCCTAGCCAGTTCAAAAGGAATATTATATATATATATATATATATATATATATATATATATATATATATATATATATATATATATATATATATGTATATAAATAAAATAAAAAGAACAGCAAGATATATAATCCGGTTTTCTTATAGATATTTTTATTTTTACAAAATAGTTCTCAATGTAAATTTACAGAGCATTAATATTATATATTATAAATATTATATATATATATATATATATATTGTCTATTTGGGCAGCGATCCCTTCTTTATACAAGTTTCATTAAAGATGACAGACAAGGTACTATGATTAACCTATTTATCTTTATCTAATTTTGTTTTTATTTAATTTTTCTTGTGTTCGTATAAGCGTTTTCTTTTTGGGACAAAAAAATTGGGGCACCACAATGTTGTATAATGGCTAATAAGTTTGTCTTGCTACAAAAAACAAATACGACTGAGTAATACTCACCAGGTGCCACATACTTATGCCACATCTAAGCTAAGCTTAGAAAATCACTATAAAGTGTGGAGAAATTTTTCAAATGTTCTATATATCCAAAAGCTTTCAGGTATTCTATTAGCCATTATCAAGGATTATTTTTAATTTTTAATTTTTTAACTGCATATATATATATATATATATATATATATATATATATATATATATATATATATATATATGTATGTATTGAGACATGTTTCATTAAATAATTTAGACAAGTTTTGTCTACTTATTTTTAGTTGGATCCTTTCATATTCACAGACAAGTTTTTGCTGTCATTATTACAGGAAGTAAGAAAATTAATGTGTTGATACACATTATTTTATTTTGAGTACTTTCAACATTAGCACAATGTCATCATCAAGGTGTTATTTATTTCAAGACAAATATAGTAGTGTTCATTATATACAAAATTAATTATGAATAATGCACAAATGTTTTAAAATGTTTACTGTAGAACTCAACATTCTTCACTTCACAAGTAAAAAAACTTTCAGATGAACGCAGCAATTTTATCTTTGAAAATTATGAACACTATAATATTTGTCTTGAAATAAACAACACACTGATGATAACATTGTGCTAATTTTGAAAATACTCAGAATAAAATAATATGTATCAATACAGTAATTTATTCTCTTCCTTTAACTTGTCTGTGAATATAAAAGTATCCAATTGAAAATAAGTAGACAAAATTTGTCTAAACTATTCAATGAAACATGTGTCAATGAAAACATGCTACCAAAATATATGCAATGCATATATATATATATATATATATATATATATATATATATATATATATATATATATATATACCTTAGTCCTACCAGTGAATACCTTAACACTTACATAACTTAGCATGTCAGATCAGATCTAATGATGGTTTCTGTTTAGGAATACAGGTTTGATGCATATTTTCTACCAAATTTTTCAAACATTCAGGCTGGTAAATATAATTAATACTGTTTATTTAAAAACAGAGTATTTACTTAAATAAATTGTATCCATAAAAATAAAGTATGAACAGAAAATATATTAAATATATTTCAATAGAATTAATGGATTTATTTTTAATCTGACATTTTTATTACTTCAATAAATAACTATAATTTCTATATCTGCAACAAGCTTTACAATAATATTTGAAGTAATAT